TTATCTATTACTTAATTCGTTTTATTCACTTACGTTTTAAAACCAGGAGGCAATTATAGTTTATTCATGAGTGCTATACATGAAAGTGGATTCTTTATCACTTTAGCGAACTTAGTCTATATTATATAATTAGGAATGGTCGATTACTTATTGATGAGATTAGAATTAACCGCAATTTCATCAAGCGTCACTAGGGATGGTAAAAAAAAAAACATGGGATAATTATGATATGAATACGTTAAATACTTGTACATTTAAATAATTACAACATTACTATTTAGATTTGAATACTTTTTTTTTTAAAAAAAAAAAAAACATGTATAACATTTTACAGCAATCATGTATAATTAAACGAATTTTACTATCACAAATAGGTGTCGCCAAGTGAAAACCAGAAATTCTAAAATAGATTATTATAAAATTCTTAACGTTAATAATCTATTTTAGAATTCCCGGTTTTCACTTGGCAACACTCAAATTATAAAAAATTATCTATCTATTTTTTGAATTTTCAAATAATTTTTTTTTAATATTCACATATTTTATTTTTGTTAACACTATTGTTACCTGAAGATAATAAAATGTACCAATCAGATCTTTTCATAGTCGAGCGAACCAATAATATTAAAAGCGTACGGTAAACGGTTATGATTATAAGTACTGTACACTGAACATTAAATTATCGTTATATATATTATAAAATTCATATAAAGCTATTATTTAATGTTATTTGATCCCAAAATTACCATGGATAAAGAGTTTGAATTTAAGTGGTATTTGAAATCTGCTGAAAATGGAAATTCTAAAGGACAATATAATCTTGGATTCTGTTATTAACATGGTATAGGCACAGTTAAGGATGAAAAAAAGGCATTTGAGTCGTATTTGAAATCTGCTTAAGACGGTAATTCGGATGGACAATGTAATCTGAGATTATGTTATTAACATGGTATAGGCACAGTCAAGGATAAAAAAAAGGCATTTAAGTGGTATTTGAAATCTGCTATAAATGCCAATTTAACTGGAAAAATAACCTTGGCTCTTGTTATCAATATGGTACAGGCACTACAAAGAATGAAAAAAAAATCATTTGAGTGGTATTTGGAATCTGCTGAAAGTGGCGGTTCTGATGGACAATGTAATCTTGGATTCTGTTATGAAAAAGAGATAAGCACAGCCAAAGATGAAAAAAGGCATTTGAATAGTATTTTGAATCTGCTGAAAGTGGTGATTTAACTAGACAAAATAATCTTGGTTTGTGCTATCAATATAGTATAGGCACAATAAAGGATGAAACAAAGGCATTTGAATGGTATTTGAAATCTGCTGAAGACAGTAATTCAGATGGACAATGTAATCTGGGATTATGTTATGATGAAGCGTTTGGCACAGTCAAGGATGAAAAAAGGCATTTAATATTTGGAATCCGCTAAAAAATGCCAATTCAACTTGGCAAAATAATCTTGGCTCGTGTTATCAAATGGTACAGGTACTGCAAAGGATGAAAAAAAGGCATTTGAGTGGTATTTGGGGATGCTTATAGCAAAAACAGGCTTAGGGATTATATTTTATATAGTCCCTAACAAAGTAATCTTGGCTGGTGTCATCAATACGGTATAGGCGCCATAAAGGATGAAACAAAGGCATTTGAAATCTGCTAAAGGCGCTAATGCGTAGGGGCAATATAATCTCGCAGAATGTTACCGATATTGTATAGGTACTGAAAAGGATGAAAAAAAAGAATTTAAGTGGTATTTGAAATCTGCAGAAAGTGGAGATCCTGACGGCCAGTACAAAGTTGGACTATGTTATCGAAATGGTAATGGGACATTACCTAATCATGAGAAAGCCATTGAATGGTTACAAAAGCAAATTTTAATAAATATCAAGAAGAAATATGCTATAAAAATATTGATATTGATGATTTTCTAAAACAAATATTGTTCGAAAATTATTCAACGTTATTATAGATTCAATTTAATGAATTAAGTATTATAAATAAAATTGGAAAAGGTGGGTTTGCAACCGTGTATTCCGCGAATTGGAAACTCATAGATTCAGATGGTGGTACTTTGATTGAAACTATTGCATTTAAATTTTTTCATGGATCAAAAAATATCAGCAAAGAACTTATAAAAGAGGTAAATATTTAATAATGTCAAATATTTATTGTTACAGTTGAAGCTGGAAACGGCGGATGCTGGAAATTTTAAATACTTTAATATGAGATTTACAAAAACTTTTGGGATGTATTTTCTACGATTTTTTTTTTTATAGTTAGATTAGAATTTAGGGTTAGGATTTATAACAAAAGAGTATAGTTGGATTTTAGCAGGGTTTATAGTTTTAAATCGAGACCCCTAATTTCCAGCAACATCTATTTCAAGCTTCAGCCGCGACATTTATTAATTTTGGATCATTACTAGTGTTTCGGGCGTAGAGATGTGCAAAGTAACATATTTATTACTTATTACATGTATTTTTAATTATTTCCGACAGTTTTTTACGTAATAAATAATAATAAGTAAGGATGCAAAATTCAATCCGAACAACAAATTATTGAATTTAAATTTTACTCTCCAGATTACATTTGAAAATTGTAATAAGTAATAATCAGCAATAATTGGTAATAATACGCAAGTTTAAGTACTGGGTAAAAAAGATAAGTAATTATTACTTACATTATTACCTTGCCCAACTCTATTCGGGCGAAACCCATTTTCAAAATCCGAAAGGCGAAATAAATCCGAAATTTCCGAAACTTCTGAAATTTCCAAAATGGGCGAAACGCGAAATGCTCTATTTGTTTGGATGGTGTGAAAAGGTCCTAAAATTCCAAAATACCACCAAAAATTATCGGTGACACATTCGTAAAAAATTTACATCAAATTTAGTCAGATATTTGTCGAATATCTTCGCACATGTTAAAAAAAAGTCTCAATATAGTCATGCCAATTTTTTTAAAAATTTGAGCGAGAATATCTCAACATCTTTTGACTAAATTTGATCATTTTTTTTATTTGAATTTAAACCATCTTAGAATTAAATAAAATTTTTTTTATCGAATTTAGCCAAGTTGTTGCCGAGATCTCTTTGCTCAAAGCTATAAAAAACTCAAAAAATGTCTCAAAATAAATAGAACCGCACAAAAAAAAAAAAAAAAAATGCACGGCACTTGGCCTGCATTAACATAATTTTATAATTTTGGCCGAAAATTATTTTTTAATTTTTTATTCTAAAAAAGGGAATTTTTTAGAAAATTGCCTAGAAGAACTCCCTGGGCTTTGCCCAGAAAAATACCGAGCTAGTTTTTTCTTTTCTAATCGATCAGCTGGGGGGATTTTCATTGTTGAAATCCAGGCTAGATCTATGGTAAAATTATGGCAGGATTATTTTTTACTTAATGGGTGGCCAGGGTTTTATTAGTAAAAATTTGAATAATTTTAGTATGTTTTTTTTTGTAAATTATGTTATTTAATCACAATTGAGGATTAGCATTTTTTATCAAAATCATATAAGCGGATTTGTTTTCATTTAGACATGTTACAAAATTGATTTTGTCACGTATGATAATCAAAACGTGCTAATCAGATTATGTGATATATTAATCAAAACATGATTACTAACTAATTAAATTTAATAATTATATTATATGTATACTAATAACTTGTATTTAATACTTTTTTTATACTGTTAATTACTTTTGTAGCTTTAAATAAAGTTGTATACAAAAAATAAATAGATTTAATACAACTTTTTAAATAATTACTAAAACCAAAATTAATAGAATAATAAAACTTATTTTTTATATTACTATTTAGTAAATCTATTTAAAATATTAATTATATGAAAAATAAACTATGTAATTACAATAAGTCAAAAGTAAAAACTGCAATAAGTCAGTTTTAAGATTATACTAAATTTTTTGCTATTTAACTTTAGTAGTATAATTTTAAATTATTTAGTAAATAAATAAATAAAAAAAAGTAAAGAAGAACTTCAACAATACTTGTATTAAATTAAATATATTATTACTTTTTCAGTTTTATTTTTTTGAAAAATTATTTTTTATATTTATAACAACTAGACTTTTAGATTTGAAATAGTTTTTTTTTATTTTTTAAAAACAAAAAGTAATAATTTAGCTTATTTTTATCAAAAGTTTAATATTTATATTATATTTATTTTAGAAAATTATATTATATACTACTAAATAATAATAATTTGTAGGATGCAAATTATTAACTCTTTTTAATAATTATTTGTATCAAATTTTCTTGAAAAAAACTTGCAATATCTAAAATTCTACTAAGTAAACTACCTTTAGCTGTTTAAATAAAGTTGTTTTACACATAATTTATATCTAGATAGTATAGTTTTATATTTTGTAATTAGCTCTTTAACAAGATATTTTAACTAAAGTATAGTTACATTTCATAGCTAATAATTCAAAATTTTATTAAGTATTCAACTTCTCTTTCTTAATTTAAAAAGAACTAGTATACTTTCAGCTTTATTTTGATATAATATATCAAAAATAGATTAAAACTAGAGGTTAGAACTAAATTATAAAATCCAACTTCATCTTCAGATTAAACTAGTTTAATTAGTAAATCATTTTGTAATATTCTAATTTATTTGTAGCTCTCTGACAAACTAGTTTTAAATTAGCATTTGGTTTTATTTTATTTTTTTATTATCATCTTATTCTAGTAATAAAGAAATAAATACAAGTTTATTAGATATTTTGATAATACTAAGATACATTAGAACTCTATATACTATGCTTAGAAGTATATCTATAAACTTTATAATGCTATGCATCATATATCAAATTCATTACTTCTTAGTTCTGAGTGTATATTGCAAAAAGAAGGTGAAATTTTAGAAAAACTATATCTTAGATGAAAAACTATATCTTAGATAAAAAACAGTAAGTTGTTATTAGTAAATATATAGCTTACTAATAAACTTATTAGTTAACAAGTATTCTTATATATATATATTAAATAAATTGTAGCTTTTAATTTCTAAAATAAGAAATAAATTTGATATTGTTATATATATATATATACATATCAATATAATTTGTATTATTTTATTGTTATATAATTTTTAAAATTCTCTTATCAGAAATTTTTTATTAAAAAGCTAAATTTTTTATTCAATAATTATATATAATTATTACAGTAGGTATTATTTAATATTTATTAATTTTAATTTATTTTTAGATTCTAAATAATATAATATATTTATTAGAACCTTTTAAAAAAATTACATATCAAATTTCTAGAGCAAATTATTCTACATTTATTATAGTTTACCTATATATAAAAATTCTAAAGAAAAAATATGTATCTTAGTTAGATCAAGCAGAAACAAAGCAATTATATCTTGATTTAATTTATGGTACTTCTGAAGGAGATAATAATAGTACTAATACTAATAGTTCTAGTTAAATTAGTGATGATAACAATATACCAAGTGGTAGAACTTAGAAATACTAACAATATGCTCATAGGCAATTCTGTAAACATATAAAAAGAAAAAAAAAATAGATGCAAAAAGAAAAGTTTTTAAAAAAAAAGATACAAACTAATAAATTTGATAATAACAAAATTGAATACTTACCTGCTGTAAATTCTAATAGCTTATTGCAAAAAGTTTGAATTATAATTTTTTTGTCTTTAGATAGGCTTTAAAATATATTTTTGAATTTGGCTTTTATTGTATCTATTCTTAACCCATGGTTTAAAACTTTTCAATAGGTACTAGATCAATTTAAATATGCAAAAAAATTACTTAAACAGTCTTATATTAAAATAAAAATAGCTTTGAAACTGTTAAATTTAAATAATTTACCAAATAAAACAACAAACAATTCATTAATTTATGATGATGATGATAACAGATTTTTTAGTAATTTAAAATTATATCTCATTAAATATTAGAATTAATTGAATTAGATAAAGTAATACATTATCTAAATTTGGCTAGTATAAAACTTAATAAAGATCTAATAAGTTAATAGAAATTATATAAGACTGAATTACTAATTCTTATGTAATTAGCTAGAAAATATCTTTCTATTCTAGCATCTTTAGTTCTATCAAAAAAATTATTTTCTAATACTAAAAATCTTATCTCTTTAAAAAGAATATGATTAGCACTAGTTTTAGTAAACAAATTTTTGTTTTTAAAAAGAAATAGCAAGTATGTTGAAACATTTTCATTATAATAAATATTTGCTACATGTTTTTTGCTATTTTATTAAATATTATATTATTACATATAATGAAAAATTTGTAATGCTTATATAATTATAAATTTTTACTATACTATATCTAAAATAAAAATAAATAATGATAAATAAACAAAAAAATAATTTTAGTTTTTTTCTGCTAAATATTTATCTGATGATTCGAATTAAATTCAGTTTAAACCAATTCAAATTAGTATAAATTAGTTTTTTTCATAATCATATTTATCTAATTTAGTTTTTAAATTTTATAACTAATTTTGATCTTTAATCAAAACTCAATTTTTTATTTAAAAATCTTTAGAAATTTTTTGCAAAAAAATTTTTTTTTTTTTTTTTTGCAATTTTTGGAGAATTTCTCTTGACCTGGTTACCTCTAACATGTTTTAAACAGGTTACAACAAGCTTACAAATCTCAATTATATAAAAAAATTAAAATTAATTAGTTTCTAAAATTTAGATTTCTTTTTTTTTTTTTTTATAGAATGAGGCCTTGCCTTAGTTTTTATTGAGTTTGATAATATAAATTTAACAGAGTTGTGTTATATTAATAAGCTACTGTTATCTAAGCTAGGGATACTTTACCTCTCGGTCTGTACTCTACTAAAGTAGGCCAATAACCTCATCTAGATTTGGAGTAGAATATTGCTGATATAAGTGTCTGATATGTTTGATATAAGATATGCTTCTTTCCATCTTTGTAATTTAGCAAAAGCATCAGTTATAGTAGTATTTTTTTTTTTTTTTCGGCAGTCATGCCACAACTTTTGATTTATTAAGAAAAATTAAAGTATAAATCTATATATTCTTTACTATTCTCTAAGCTATATAATGCTAATTTAATCTTTAAAGTGTGACTAACCTAGTTGTTATTTAAGATATTTATGTTCAACCTGCTATAACAAATTTTGCTTCCTTTCTAAGCTCTTCTTTTTCTCAAAAGGAGATACTCAAAAGTTACTAGCTAGGATTTGTAGCCTGTCATGACTGTCTTAGTATATTAGCTAAGGTTTTGAATAATCTATACAAATCCAGATTTCTATCTCTCTGAAAGCAAATTCCTGTGCTGAGAGATTGTTTTCTTTTTCTATTATTGTTTGATCTGTAGATATTACTGTACTTTTTTCTATTTTTCCCTTCATTTTACTTCTTTTTTTCTGTTTGAAATTCTTTTTTCTTTTTCTCATAGTATGATTTCATTGCATTTGTTCTTCTATATTTCTTATCAGAAGCTTTTAATCTATTCTTCAAGGTAGATTTCTAGTATTAGTTTGGTTTCTTTTTTTGAAATTCTAAGTGAGAGGAATTTTTTAATAAGTTCTTCTCATATAAAACCTCTTGAAGTTTATTGTCTTTGGAGGATAATTTTTGTAGGTTCTATAGGAAAAAGTAATTTGCTAATTTTCCTTTTCTGTACTTCAGATATTTCTGTTGATTAGAATAGTTTTTTGAGTTTATTTAAGACTTTCTTCTCTAATCCTTTCTATTTCTCTTTATCTGAGTTACAGATTAATAGATGTTTAAATATTTCTTCTTCGCTATTACATTTTGAGCAAGTGCTATTATCGTATAGATCAGGATAGAATAGGCATCTCTTTTCCAATGTAGAGAGTAGTCGGTTTATATACTTTATAGTAAATATCTATCTATTATTCTCTTCTAGACTATTTCCCTGCTTCTTTCATAATCTATTTACTAATCTACTAAATATACTTCAACTCATTTTATCTTTTCTATTTTTGTGTATTCTATCCTTTCCTCCTCTTATAAATACATATTCTGATTTAACTATACTACTATTTAATTTTTTGATAAACTTTCTGATCAGCTTTTCGATCTCTATTCCTTTCCATGATGTACTGAATACTGCATTCTTGATATGTGTTTGCTGTATTCTGACTATTTGCTCTTCTTCTGTGCCTTTTTTTGCTTCTGTATCTGCTATCTTATTTTCAATAATTCCTGTATAAGCTTTAATTTTATACAAAATCAAGCTAATATTTTTGGTTTCAACTATTAGCTTTATCACTTTGAGAATTGCTATGTTAGTTGTTTTTAGCCATTCTCTTGCTTTTTCCTTTTTGCTTTTGTTTATTGCTTGAATAGCTAAAGTGCTGTCTATAAATATATTTGCTTCACAGTTTTCTGAACAAATAAGCAGTGCTTCTAAAATCGTCATAAGCTCTGCTCTTGTAGATGATGCCCATTTGTCTGTTCTTCCTCTGACTTTGCAGATAATATTATTATTAGCTCCTCTTTGAACGAAAGCATAGCCAAGTTTTTTGCTACTTTTTTGTTCTTCTTTCAATAATCTATCTATATAGATATAAGCTTGCATAAGATCTTAGTTGTTATTATATAGAGCTTTAAGCAATGTTTTTCTTTCTTTTGAGCATAACACAATTTTATCTATCAGGTGCTCACTCTAAGAATAGTTTTTGATCTCTACTTCTTGCATTTTGCTTTCTTGAATGTCTCTATTATAAATACTAGAATAGCTTTGCAACTCATCTAGAGTGATACTTATTGTACGTTCCTCTGGTTTGTATTTAATCTAGTTAGTTATATTTCTAAGCATATTTAGCTTATATCTTTTGTTTTTTAAGCTCATTAGGATATTCTCATTATTTTTTATTGCAAATTTCTTTTCTAGTAGCTCTTTAACTATTTTTTATTTTTGTATCTTTGTAGTTTTCTCTGTTTTGTTCATGATTTTTTCTATTCTCTATGTTTCTTTTGTATTTTCGCTCAATATTACCTATTCTTTTTTTAATCTCTTTTCAGATATCTTGCTTAAGATTAGTCTTATTATAGCTGTATTAATGTCCCTGCTGCAAGTAAACCTTGGCTTTAAGGATCTCAGGTTTTTGTTTTCTAAAAGTATCTCTTCTAGATTTCTAAACCAAAAGCTCTTTCTTCCCTTAGTGCTAAGATCTTTAATTTTTTTGAGCTAGTACTATGAGAGTATTGCAGAGCCCTTAAAGTTAAGTAGTTGTTCTAAATATAGAATATCTAATTTGTGTAGCCCTTATATCATTTTCTTACTCAGATTTTTTCCTAGTATATCCTATAAGCTTCTTGCTCTAGGAGTTTGATTCTCTTATAATATCTCTAAGTCTTTTGAGATATTAATTTCTAGATCTCTTGCAATTACTAAAATATTTGCATTAAGGTTATGCCTGAAGTTCTATTTTTTAATACTTTCTGTATCAAGTTCTTATAATAGTCTTATACTTAACATATCACTTTGAGCTTAGTTGAGTCTTGCAATTGTTGTTTGGGTAATAATTCTCTCTTTGTTTAGATGAACTAACCACTCTGAGATATAGTGCTCTATATATCGCTTCTAAAGTAATTTAATTCCTATTATATTTTCATACCTTATTAGGCAATTAGCAGCTAAAAAGAGAAGTTGGAACTTCTTTTTAGCTAGTTGATAAACTAATCAGAAAAGTTTATCACAAGTATTTTTTTTAAGTGAGGTAATCATGAGTCTATACTCTAGTCTAAGGATAAGTACTTTGTTTATCAAGTATTTAATCTGTCCTATTAAGATCCATTTGTGATTTATCATACTTGTGAAGCTATAAATATCCTTTTTGATTCTATTTTTAGTACTCTTTTCTTGGTTTGTTGCTCCAATTCAAACTCCAAGAAAGCATGCTATTTTTTTTCTTTCTTTTATTGGAATTTCTACTTTTTTCAAGCCTATTTGAATTTTCTTATTATTGTGTGCTCTTTTATTATTAATTGCAATTAATTCTGATTTCTTAGGATTAATTTCTATATCGTTTAACTTGTAGAATTCTTATGCTTTATTAATTATCTTTTGTAGATCCTGCTATGACTTTGCAATCCATATAGTATCATCTGCGAAAGCTAGATTTGGAATTCTGATCTTTTCTACTTTGCTGCTTTCTAGAGGGTTAGGTAGTCTCATCTTATATCTAAGTTTAGAGTTTTGGATATTGTAGAGGAATGAGTTATAGAAGATTCTCTATATCAAAGGAGAGATTACTTCTCCTTGGTCTATTCCATCTTGGGCCTGAAAACCTTCTGTGAGACCTGTTTTAGTGATTATTTTAACCTCTTTTTTGTTATATATTTCTATTAAGAATTTCTTAAGTTTGTCTTATATTTGTATTCTGTTCAAAGCTTTTTATAGACCTACTATACTAACAGAGTCAAAGGCTTTTTTGATATCCTGTAGTAGAATTCACATTTTTTTCTTATTTTGTTTAGCATCTTTCATTAAGTTTTGTAAGAGGTGGATCAGTATAGAAGTACTTTCTCTTTTAGGCTAGCAAAGTTTAATCCTTTAAGTACTTTCTTTTCTAGTAAGACCTTACTGAGTCTTTTTTGAATAATTCTAACTAGACTCTTGCAGAAGGTCTCTAGTAGTATTATTGGTCTTGTACTTGATAATGAGTAATTCTATTCTGCTATTTTTGGAATTAGGAAAATCTGACCAATTTTCTATTTTTTCAAAAAATACCTGTCTTTAGAATTAGGTTTGATAGTTCTAAGTATTTTGTTCTAGCTTTTGAATCTGAATTTTGGAGCATTATATAGCTTATTCTTGAGGCCTCTAGTACTATTTCTTTTTTAGCTAGACAAATATTTTCTATCCATTCTTTTTCCTCTATTAGATTTAAAACTTTGCTATACTATTCTTTTTTGATATTTTCTTTGAGGTTATATTCTTTCTTCTATTCTTCTTTTATATGATCAAAATAGTATTTCCGTGCTTTGATCTGATCTTTGTAATAATCATCTATAGCTTTCTTAACTTCCTCAGAATCTGTAAAAAGTATTTAAGAATTCTTGTTTTTATTATCTTGTACTAATACTTTATCTATTAGTAATCTTTTCCAAAGTTTTTCTAGAATGCTATTTAGCATTCTTTTTTCTTCTTTATCTATCATTCCAAACCTAGCTTCTACCTTCTCTATAATTTCTTTTTGAGCTTCTTGTTGTATCTTGCTTACAATTTTTCTTTGAACTACTTTTTTCTAGTTTGATATTTCACGAAACCATATTTCTGTTCAGGTTTCTTCTACTTCTAGTACTTGAGTTTCCTATCTTTTATTTATGCATTCTATTTGAGAATTTATTAGAAGTTGCTCAATATAATCTATTTGAACTCCTTCTTTTCACTTTTTTTTTCTTAGGAGTCTGTTTAGATTTCGAAGATCTAGATAGAGAGGATATTATTATTATTATTATTATTATTATTATTATTACATATTATAATTATTATTATTATTATAATTATTACATATTATTATTATTATTATTATTAATATTTATTTTATTTTATTTTAATAAAGAGGCAATGAATAACTAATACTGTTCTGCTCATAAAACTATATTATATCAGATAGTTTTTGGACAATTAGCTCATAGCAATACAAATATAGTCAAGTTTTTAGAGAATGATAATAAAGGGTTTCAAATTAATAACTATCATAATTTTTTTAAAGAGAATAATAATTTAGTTGAGGAAAATGATAATTGTTATAATTCATCTAGAAAAAATGATAGTTATTATAATTTATTTAGAGAAAATGATAGTTATTATAATTTATTTTTAGAAAATGATAGTTATAATTTATCTGAAAAAAATAATGAATATTATGATTTATCATTACTTGAAAATCAAAATGATAACTATGTTCATTCAGAAGATGAATTGGATCCATGCTATTTTTTAGCAAAAAGTAATATTGATGATTTTTTAGAAAATCAATCATATAATTCTCTAGATTATTCTGAATCTACAGTCAAAAAAAGTGACTCTGACTTAACTATTATATCTAATAATACTAAATTTAATGACAATACCAATGTAACAAATTTGGATATTATTGAAATTAGTAACTCTGAAGTAGAAACTACTTATACTACTTATGAAAAAAGAAAATGGCAAGCTGATTTCTCTGAACAACAAGAAATAAAATCAAATAAAAATGAGGTATATTTTTTTAATAATATAAAATAATTTTTTTTTAATATTTTATTAATTTATTTATTTATTATTATTATTATTTTAGAGATTATCATTACATGTTATTACTAATTTTACTTAACCTTTATTTGACAAGCATAAAAAAATCCAAAAAACAGCTATTCTTAATGTTAAAAAGAATCAAGAGACTATCAAAAAAACTATAAAGATAAAGTATAAAACTAAACAAAATCATATTTTTGAACTTAGAGAATTAGTGAAGATCAGTATTCCTCATATTGATAAAATAAAAATGGATAGAAAATCACTTCCATGTAAAATATTTCAAAAAAAATCAAATCAAGATTCTTACCAAGTTGCTTGTAAATATGGAATGCTTGAAAATTGGTATCCAGCTAGTGAACTTATGCCTTTAGGCACTTCTGATTATCCTGATCTTGATGTTATTCTATTAGACAAAACAATTTCACTAAGACAAGCAAGTATAAAACAAAATTATTCACAACAAGTCAAATCAGCAAGACAAAGTTCCGAATCTAATTCTTCAAGGTAATTTTATTTATTTTAACATTATGATTTATTTATTTTATTGATTTTACTTACTAAATTTTGTATACTACTAGTGATGAAATAAATTATTCCGTATCTAAAAAAAACCGTGATTGCTGCCATTGTAAAAAAACTAATTGTGGCACTAAATCCTGCTCATGCAGAAGAAACAACATGTTATGTTCAAGACAATATGGTTGTATTTTGCGTGGTCAATGCAAAAATTGCTAGACAATTATTTTTTCTCTCATAAAATAGAATTACACTCTGCTTTATTTTTTTTTCTTTTTTTAAAAAAATTAATATTTGCGATTGGTTTTTTTATAGTAGCATTTAGAACTTATTATGAATATATAACTATGCATTTCATAGCTTGTATATGCTTGTTTTTTTTAATATATATGCATTTTTATTTATTTTATTATACAAAATTTTTAATAAGTATTGCGTGAATATTCATTAATCGGTAAAATTAATACCGATTACAAAGTGACATATGTTATTCATGGATTCGTAAATGACACATGAATCAACAGGAATCAATAAACGACACATAACATATAATTTAACAACTAATCATTGTCGATCTCTGTTCCTAAGATCTCATCAACTACTGTATATATTCGATGCTTCAAAGTCCATATTTCCATAACGTTTGCTTGATGTTAATTATTACTTTTATCTTGCCAATATACTTGTTTGTCTTGCAAACAATTAGAACATCCGTTAGCTAAATGCAATTCCATTACAGAATTATATTAATAAAGTAAAAATACTGAAAACATGAAAAACATAAAAGAATATAAGGAAATAATTAATGCTTTCACTTCAGCCCATTACTCAAACGTTAGCTATAAAAAAAAAAGAATTGGGAAACAAATAAATTCGAGTTTAAAATATAAAATGAATATTTGTTGATTAATGTTAAAATTATCATTAAGATAATATGAACTAAAGTTCATTAATTTACATATTAAACCACTTTCTAAAGAATTGCAATCTTTATAAAGCAGGCTTATTATTTAAACTTGTTTTGTACATTTCTTTTTATGGTTAAAGATTAATAATACCGATACATATAGTTTATTTAAATTTAAATGATCAAAATAACGATAATAATAATATAATAATCCAATTTAGTAAAAAAATTTGACGTCCAGCAATTTAAAAAACCTTTTTAAAAATTAATAATAATTAAATAAAAATTTACAAGACATCAATAATGTTATAACCAATATTACTGTTATTAGTACCCAAATATGTTGGACCAACTCTAATATACAATGCACCATCTTTAACCAAAAGGTCATTGTAATTTGCTACTTCATCATCAAAGATCAAATAGATCTTTTTGGTTTCAATAATTTCAACAAAATTATCTCTAACCATATCATCTTTAATAATATTTGTAACCAATGATTCAAAATATGCAAAAACGATTTCTCCCAACTTACTTTTATACCATTTACCATCATCATTTGAATTTTTCTTTGCAATTTCAAAGATATTATCAAAGTCAACCACAAATTCTATATCATCATGAACTGCTTCCTTAAGTTTTTTCTTCAATGCCGGAATTTTACTGGTCCATTGATCACGAATATTTATTTTTGTGCTCACTGAAAGCACTGAATCTGACGCATGAAGTCTTTCAACTAAATCATAACCAGGTGATGCATTGGTGCCAAATCTCTCTGGATTAACCATAATGTACAAACCACCATCAACTATCTTAACATTATGATAATCTTCGACTTCAACATCAGTAACAAGATGAAAAGTTTTTGTTTTGGTCAAATCCACGAATTCCTGTCGAACTAAATCATCCTTCTTGGTATAATCTTCGATATATCTAATTAATGAACTGAAATATTGACATGTCAAATTTCCCAAATTTTTGGAAAACCAATCTGCGTTATTTTCATGTGCTTTGATAACTTGAACATAAATTTCATCAAATTCCA